ACGAGTCATGTGTCTTCTGCCTGTGTCGCGCCCATGCAGAGGCGGCGCTTGGGGGGTCGGACTGCCCCCACTGCGGAGATATGAGCCTTCGGACTCTCAGACTCCGTGTTGCCATCGTCCAAGGCGATGAACTCGCCCAAATAGCTATGCCGCGCTCTTCCTCTGCAGCCTCTTTTGACCCAAGGAGTAAAGTGCCACGAGCTTCCGATGTGGATCTGTCCGGGTCAGGTGACGAGCTCGCGCTGGCTCAGTGCCCACGCGCTCCTCACCCCCCGGTGCAGGTCCCCTTCCAGTGCGCTTCATGACTGCTGATCTCCGTCCCTCCCTCGGCGCGAGAGATATGATGTCTTTCAGTGCCATGGAGGACGCTGAGGATGAAGGTGATGCCATTTCGGTGGCAGCGTCTGCGAGGGAGGAGTGGTCCAACAGCCCGTTGGATTACACCGTATTCTCCAATGCATTGATTGACACTCTGTCTGCTCACAGTTAATAGCCAATCAGTGCAAAAATATTAATAAAATAAAATAAAAAAAAGTGCTGTAGCGTAATTTGTCAAATATTCCGCCCCCTCCACACGCGCCTTCTTTTTGAACGTGATTTTTCTTCAATAAGGGTGATGCTGTAATCCAAGCGATGATAGTAGACGTAGAGGAGTGGGATGACTTTTTTCCTTTATAAGCATCATAGTGATGTCAAGCTCAAAAGCTTCCTGACCAAGGCGGTTGATGAGCTCGGTTTGGAGTGGGCGCCTCCTGCCGAGCCGGCCAGAAGTCGTCTGGACGAGTGGTATCTCCAGTCGGTTCGCGGCCGAAAGGACACCCCGCAGAGGCCCGGCCCCTTTTTCCCAGAGGTGCACGACGAAATAGCTAAGTCGTGGAACGCGCCGCTCACCGGTCGAGTGCACAATCCGGGATCCTCCCTCCTGTCATCTGTGGACGGCGCTGACCGAGTGGGGTACGTCAAACTTCCCCCCGTGGAGGAAGCCATTGCTGCCCACATCTGTCCTGCAGCCGCGGCGAACTGGAGAGCGAGAAACAACGCGTCTCTCCCCTCAAACTTTGCCGGCAAGGCTTTCTCCGCGTCAGGACAGGCAGCTTCAGCACTGCACGTCATGGCGATACTCCAGGTGTATCAGGCCAAACTTCTCAAGTCTCTGGACGAGGGTGGCCCGGACCCTGAAGTCTTCAAAGAGCTCCGACGCGCCACGGATCTGGCCCTCAGAGGCGCCCCATGGCAGCGACGCGGGGGACCTCCATCATAGTGATGTCGAGCTCCTAAGCGTCCTGTCCCAGGCAGTTGATGAGCTCGGTTTGGAATGGGCGCCGCCTACCGAGCCGGCCAGAAGCCGTCTGGACGAGTGGTACCTCCAGTCGGATCGCGGCCGAAAGGACACCCCGCGGAGGCCCGGCCCCTTTTTCCCGGAGGTGCACGACGAAATAGCTAAGTCGTGGAACGCGCCGCTCACCGGTCGAGTGCACAATCCGGGATCCTCCCTCCTGTCATCTGTGGACGGCGCTGACCGAATGGGGTACGTCAAACTTCCCCCCATGGAGGAAGTCGTTGCTGCCCACCTCTGTCCTGCAGCCGTGGCGAACTGGAGAGCGAGAAACAATGCAAACTTTGCCGGCAAGGCTTTCTCCGCGGCAGGACAGGCAGCTTCAGCACTGCACGTCATGGCGATACTCCAGGTGTATCAGGCCAAACTTCTCAAGTATCTGGACGAGGGTGGCCCGGACCCTGAAGTTTTCAAAGAGCTCCGACGCTCCACGGATCTGGCCCTCAGAGCGACGAAAGTTACAGCAACATGGGGAACTCTCACACTCGTGTGGTATTAAACTCCCCGCCCCCCAATGGCGAGTTATCCGTCACGGTGTGCAGCCCGCCTCGCCCGCTGTCACAGTTCACAGAAGCGTGGCAGACGCTGCCAGGGGTATCAGAGTGGGTTATGAAATCAATAAAGAACGGCTACACGCTTCAGTTCTTCTGCAGACCGCCCCGTTCCAACGGTGTGTTAATGTCCACTGTACGGGAGCAAAATGCCTCAGTTCTGCGAGAGGAAATACACAATCTTCTCGCAAAACACGCAGTAGAGACAGTGCCCCTTGCAGATCGTGAGAGCGGCTTCTACAGTCGTTATTTTCTGGTGCCAATGAAAGACGGCGGACTCCGCCCTATCTTGGATTGGAGCAGAATGCCTCAGTTCTGCGAGAGGAAATACACAATCTTCTCGCAAAACACGCAGTAGAGACGGTGCCCCTTGCAGAGCGCGAGAGCGGCTCTACAGTCGTTATTTTCTGGTGCCAAAGAAAGACGGCGGACTCCGCCCTATCTTGGATTTGAGACCGCTGAATCGCGCGCTTTCGAAGCACTCGTTCAAAATGATTACACTAAAGCAAATCCTCTCACACATCAGACCGGGAGATTGGTTTATCTCCGTGGATTTAAAGGATGCTTATTTCCACATTCAGGTAGCCCCCCGCCACAGGCGCTTCCTGAGATTTGCATTTGAGGGGATAGCGTATCAATTCACGGTCCTACCCTTCGGTCTATCCCTGGCCCCTCGTACGTTTATGAAGTGCATGGATGCTGCTCTCTCTCCTCTGAAGCGGAGCGGAATGCGCATCCTGAACTATCTCGACGATTGGCTAGTCTTAGCCCAATCAGAGAGTGCGCTGCTCAGCGACAAGCTCAGACTTCTCGCTCATGTTCAGAGCTTAGGGCTGACTGTGAATATGCAAAAGAGCATGCTGGTACCGAGCCAGAACATCTCCTTTTTAGGAGTAGAGCTGAATTCAATCAATATGCGAGCGCGTCTTTCAGAAGAGCGCACACAAAAACTGATCAGCTCTCTCGCAGTCTTCAGGTTAGGGAACTCTCCCCCGCTGAAATGCTTTCAGAGGGCGCTCGGCCAGATGGCTGCCGCCTCAACAGTGTGCAAATTAGGACTCCTACATATGCGACCGCTTAAGCTCTGGCTGAAAAGTTGCGTGCCACAGAGCGCATGGCACGCGGGCACCTTGCGCGTACGAGTAACGCGCGACTGCTTGAAAGCGCTGGCCCCTTGGCACGATATGACACTGTATCACCGGGGTGTTCCTATTGGCCAAGTGACCAGGAGAAAAACTGTTATGACAGATGCATCGAGCACGGGTTGAGGAGCCGTATGCGACGGCAGACCAGCCTTCGTGATGTGGTCAGAAACTGAGAAATTGTGGCACATAAACTGTCTGGATCTCCGTGCTGTACACCTAGCACTCGAGTGCTGTCTTCCGGACATTCTCCACCGTCACGTTCTCATCAGGACTGACAGAATGACAGTGGTAGCGTTTATAAATCACCAAGGGGGTGTGAGCTCGCGGCTGCTGCTGCAGCTGTCGAGAGGCCTTCTTCTGTGGGCAGATCGACACCTCCTCTCCATCCGGGCAGTACATGTCCCCGGACGCCTGAATTATGGCGCGGATTTACTGTCGAGGGTCGGGGTAATCCACGGAGAGTGGAGATTACACCCTTTGACAGTCAATATGATTCGGAGTGTATTCGGCGGGGCGGAGGTGGATCTCTTCACATCAGCGGAGTCCAGAGTCATGGATTCTTCATGTCTGGCCGCTCAACGGGGCTTGCCTGTAACAGATGCACTTCCCCAGCGCGTGTTGAACACTATCGCTGAGGCTAGGGCTCCTTCCACGAGGCGTCTTTACGCACATAAATGGAGAGTTTTCATAAATTGGTGCGTATCGCGGGGCGAAGACCCATATAATTGCCCAATACCAAAATTCTTGCCTTCCTTCAAGAGCGATTTGATAGTGGTCGTATGCCATCCACATTGAAAGTGTATGTAGCCGCTATAACAGCCTTTCACGTGCACGTCGATAATCGCCCAATCGGCAGAAATGACCTGATCATACGATTTTTAAAAGGAGCAAGAAGGCTGAACCCTCCTCGCCCTTCCACCCTACCCACTTGGGACTTGGCGCTTGTACTTGAAGCTCTCACGGGACCCCCGTTCGAGCCCATGCAATCCAGCGAGCTTGTAAATGCTCTCTCAAGACAGCGCTCCTGCTCGCGCTAACCTCTGTTAAGCGAGTTGGGGACCTGCAGGTGCTGTCAATTGACGACTCGTGTATTGAATTCGGGCCAGGTGATTGCAGACTCACCTTGAAGCCCAGAAAAGGTTATGTGCCTAAAGTACTTTTGACTCCATTTAAAGCGCAGGTCATAACACTGCCACCCATGGGCTCGCATCCTCATGGGCTTGGGCAAATGGCATATCTATTCAGGACATTTGCATGGCGGCAGGCTGGTCGTCACCCAACATTTTAGCGAGGTTTTATAACCTAGATGTGTCGTCGCTTGCCTCATATGTGCTGTCAGTGCGAGCGGCACACCCACCTTCTCAGCCTCAGTTATGAGCTGAGCTGCATGCCTAAGTGGTTTCGACCAGGTCGTATACACCCCTGTACTGACGCGCCACCAATCCAATGCTGCTCTCTTATCAGCTCATCACATTGTTATGATATAGTTAATCACGTCTTTTAGGTCTTGATCACCATCATACTCTTATTTGAGCACCGGTTCAGCTGTTGCATCACAACCACTGATTTATATAATGTTCTCAAATATAGATCAGTGATCACAACAAACAATTTCGTTGAAATGAACAAACTTCAACTGGTCTATATATGTGATGGCGCTGGCACCGCCGCCATTTCATATTCTCTATTTTACCAGCGTTAACTCCGCCCCTGGTGTGACGCGGCATCGCCATTTCACATTCTCTGTTTCACCGGCATTAACTCCGCCCCAGGTGTGATGCGGCATCGTCTAGTTGCCACGCCCCCTTGACTTTTACATGGTTTCGACTAGGTCCTGTAGACCTGAGCTGTGTTTAACAAGAGCGCCAATATCATTGCCGCTCTCATTACGGTTGCATATGTGAAACTTGACATACTTAGTCGAGACAGGCTCCATCGCTGTGACACGGCGGGATTTTATACGTTCCCATAGAAATGTAGAGTGACCGAATCGAAAGGGAACGCTCTCGGTTACTCACGTAACCTCGGTTCCCTGAGATGAGGGAACAAGACATTGCTCTTATTGCCGTGCCACCTAGCTCAGGATCTTAGAATGCCAAGTTGCTTCAGTCAAGATTCTGAATGGATGACGTACAAGCGCTGCTTTAAATAGAGTGGGAGCCCGTCATATTTCACGCGCTTGAACGCCATTGGCCAGTTTAACTGGCGTGATTCAATAAGGTCTCAGTAGTATTTGGAGGAAGGAGTTTCCCCATAAAGCATTATCAAATGCAATGTTGAAGTGAACAAATCAAAAGGGAACAAATTATCGCTGTATGGCGCAAACCTGGT